AGCTTTTCCAAGGCATAGTGGCGTACTGCTGATGGATATAAGCTAGGCCGAGAACCAATCGAGGCATCCGGTCGGAAATCACATTGGAGCCACTAAAGTCCACCAGATCAGGCGATATTCGGGTGCGATGACTGTAGATCAGAACCTGACCTTCTCTGGAAAATTTCTGTCGATTAACCCTCTTCGTGGAACATCTGCGCTATTACTTACGCGTCTAAGCCTGTGAGATGTGGAGCGACAACCGCCAAGCAAAAAGCGCTCGCAATTGCTGCATCTACAGCTTTGCCGCCCTGTTTCAGTATTTGGGTACCAACGCGCGAACATTCCAAGCTATCAGTGGCTACGCTCCCATGGGGAACCACCTGAAAAACCCGCAGGATAAACCCACTAAACGGGCACAACGAGGGTGAAACCCCCTACCTGGTAATCACCGTAGTAGATTTGGACTATCAGTGCAATCGTAACGATAATCGTCAAAACGCCGAAGGCCACATTGATGAACTTGGAACCGCCCATGCAGTCTTCATTGCAATTATACCATTTGGATTGTTTGGTACCCGTTTTCAATGGTATGTCTTCTCGGGTTGTTTCTTCCACTAAAACAGAAAACGACTTGGAAATGGAAACTGGAAGCAAAAAATCAAGTCAAAATGATGAACAGAAATGGTACATTAATCATCAGCACTTTGTTAACGAAACCCTAACAAATCACTTGAACTGACTGAGTGCAACATCTTTAATACCTGTGCGATTTTCCGAGTTCGTCATCTTATTTTCGTTGTTGCTATTGTCACAATTCGGCAGCTTTTCTCACCAAAACGTCTTGCACGCAAACACCTACATGCTCTTGTCTTCCTGACGAGGTCGAGTGGCCCAGTGCGCGGAACCGTAAGGTTTACAGTAACTTTCACCGGTAGTCTTGCTGGCTGACTGAAAATACTTCATCAATAGCCAATCAACAGGAACGGGTTCGGATTTTTAAATAGAACTTCATGATTCATGCACCTCCTTGCTGGCCATTGTCTTACCTCAACCGCACCCAAAGCGATAGTGCGTCGTGGTTCGGCCAATTTTCGGTTCTCGGTCTTTTAATAACGCTAAAATGTGAAAGTGCTTGGCAAAAGTGAAGTTAGCTATCGACCTGGGGATACTGATTTTTTCTAATATCCATACTTTATTTACTTGTACATTTCGTAAAAAATACATCAATACATGCATATTAAAATATAAGTATTTCTTTCACATCGATGTGCCAAATATCGTCTCGTTCGTATTCGCATAGATAAACAATAAAAACATTATTAATAGTCAAAATTCAACACTTGAACGAATGCCGTTTTAATCACTAAATCGGTGTAAACAGGCAACATTGAGAAACCAAGGACTTTGAAACTTGCTTCATTCTAAGCATCAACAGTACAACTCAGAAGGCATAGAAACAACTCATGCCTTCATCAAACGCGTTAACAGTGGCCTTAACTTATCCACTTCTACAACACCTTAAAACTACCGACATAAAAACACCCGCAGCAACAAAAACTGAAGTACAACATATCTGGTCTGTTTTAGTCTTGAACCGCAACCCCCTTGTTGCTTGCTTTGTGCGCCTCCAAAACCGCTATCGCTTCTTCAACCTGGAAATGTTGATGAAATTAGGTCATTTAATGGACGTATTGCCATTGCTGACTTTCGCCCTAAGAGATTCATGGTTTTTGATCATATTGAGCAGCTCCGAGTTGTCGATTTCCAGTAGCATTCCTGTGATTTTCCCTGCCAGCTCTGGTTTAAGCTTTTCCACGATGCTAAATAATTGTTCGCCTGCAATTCAATAAGTTCAGTTTACCTACGGATTATTTTTCAATAATATTATTAGGGCTTCCGGCAGCTGCTTGAAACGGGCGAGTTTTTCGGACTCATAAAAACCCGAAAAACTCACCAGTTTTAAAGCCAGGCTTTTTAACCCACTTATTTACCTATAATCTGCTTTTGTTCTTGTGGGGCCGCATGGTTTAATCTAGGGTCAGTTATTGAGACCTCTGGGCCATGCCTGGTTGTGTATTTGGAATTTGGACGTGCTGTTGGACCGGAAGAGCCTGAAATGTAGAAAACAATACGTTCACCTTTCAACGAATGCCGCCAAGCAATCATCCACCCTGATGTATATCATGCTTAGTACCAGTTATCGGACGCGCGTGAGTCCGCATAGGGGCCGGTCTGGCGGATGTTCTGTAAGGCGACGTTGGTAATAGGGGCATTCCAAAGTGAGGTCCATTGGGGGGGCGAGGGAGAGCTTGCAATGTTGACCATCTAGGAGCTGGGCGCATAGTGGGAGCAGGTCCAAATAGGCGGGGCCCTTGAGCCACGGCGGAGAGCAGATAGGAAGGCCCGCCCGTAAATTGGAGGCCTCCCTGGAAGGCAGATTGTGCAACCTTAATTAATTGTTCTTCTAGGAGGGGGTCCAAGCTAGAGGATGTAGGCAATACCTGTTGTCTGGCTGCATGAGCCCTTGCAACATACTGAGTTGTCAGGAATGCTCGTCTAGCTTCCCTTCTTTGCGCCATTGCGACATAGAGGGGCTTGGAGCCCACAATTTTCCCATTCATTTCCTGGATGGCCTTGCTAGCTTCTTCGGGCGCTGTGTAACACACGAAGCCAAATCCACGAGATCTACCATTCTCTTTCATCACCTGAAAGCAGTATATTTTGTCCATGCAAATTGTCCAATAGTTGTCCTCTGCTACTGACCTTAGCAGACGTAATCTCGCCAAAGCACTCAAATTCCGCCTTGAGCTTCTCATCGGTAAAAATATCATCCAGATTCTTCACGTAAAGGTTGACACCTTGGAACTTTGTGAATCTCTCAATTCTCTCCAGTTCGTATCGTTTTCGCAATTCGTTCAACCTTTCAGCCTTTTTCTGCGCGCGGCCAACATACAAAGTGCGACCATCATAATCCCGTCCATTCATTTCCTAAAAGTGAGTAAAGTAGAATAAATAGGATTTAAGCGAATTTTGGGACACGGACTGAAACTGCCAAATCGGCGGCTTTTGGATCATCGTAAGCCACAAATCCAAAGCCTTTGCTGGTTCCATCCGGATGACGAGCGACCAAGCTGCTGGTCACGTTGCCAAATTGGGAAAACAGCTCGTGGAACTTTTCGTCCGGCATAATTTGGCCGAAGTTCTTCACATAGACGTTGGTGAATTGTCTTGATTTTTCTCCCAACTCCTTTTCACGCTCCGCTCTCGGTATAAACTTGCCCACATACACCTTTTTCCCGTTGAGCAACATGCCGTTGACCTAAAGTTTCGCGTATTCAATTGATGTGTTGGTTCCTGACTGCTACCACGCAAACCTTTTCAATTGCTTTGTTTGCAACATCCTCGGTTTCAAAGTGCACGAATCCATACCCCTTTGAACATCCATCATCATCCAGAGCCACTTTGCAGCTGAGGATGTGTCCGAATGCGGAAAACGTATCGTACATGGCTTTGTTATCGATGTTCTTGTCCAGATTTTTGATGAACAAGTTCCCAATGCCAGACTTTCGCAATGTGGGGTCCCGTTGGCTCCACATAATCCTGATAGGTTTGCCTTTCAATAGATCAAAATTCATCGTATCTAATACGGTTTCGGCTTCCAGAGTAGTGCTGAAGTTCACGTAACCATAGCCAAGGGATTGCTTGGTTCGGGAGTCGCGACATACTCTAAGCGAGGCCAACTAGTAAAAGACAAATTAATGGTTTTAACTGGGCTTTGCGGTCAGCTTCTAAATCGGTTTTATTAATATTGGAAACCCAGGCAATCGGTCTCATGAATCAAACGTAGTAAATGCCTTTTCCTCAAAGTCTTAAAGCAAAACTATGAAAGTTTGGAGCACTTTTGACCGAGAACTCGTGGGCTGCAATCGTGGCGTTCCTTACGATCTGAGAGTCGTAAAACTTTCAAAAGGAGCGTGGAAAAGTCACCAGACGACTTGAGACTTTGGCTAACAAATGCGCTAAGCATGTCATTGCCGTTAAATGCAAAAGAAACGCTGGACAAGAGCTTCAGTACTGTTCGAAGTTCTCCTGCACATTGAAGGGCGCCAGTGCTCAAGACGCTGTTAAGTTTAGGTAAAGTTGTAATTTATTTTTGTTAACTTACTGATCCTACACTGGAAAATTTCTCATAAAGCATCGCTTCAGTGACATCAGGGTGTAAATCGCCCACATACAGGGACCCCGAAGGAAAAATTACTATTGGCTGCGGAATGTTGCTCATGTCGCTTTTTCGCTTACTTTTACAAACGCTTTTACTTACAACACTACGCGTACACACAATTTTTTTTGTATTTTTCGCCGATTTTTTAATTTATTTGCCAACAAACATTGTTGTTTATCGTTGTTTTTTGATTGCCTTAGCGACGACAAAAACTCACAGAGCACTCGATTAACACGGGAATTTCACTAAACTTGAAGTTATTCAGAAAACGTAAAATTTTTGATAAATGTCGACCAAAGCTCGTATTTCATACTCGTGCCCAGTAGGAATTTTGCCACCGGAATTTCTCTTTCACGAAGAAAAACGAGAATAAAGTAGTTTTTACACTCGAGAAATGCTAGTTTAAACAGTTACAACCGCCATGTCAAATGTACATCTGTCTTTTTTGCTGGGGCTATCTGCCTCCTTTTTTACTTCACTCATGAGCGGGGTGAATTTCGGACAGAAGAAGATCAACAACGCTAACCAGAAAGCATCATAAACAAACACTTGTTCATAATCTCTGTAGTTAAACAATAGTAAATAAAAACTAAATTATGGGGAGAATAAAGAGTGTTCCTAACAAGAAAGATTTTTCCCTTGGACAGTGCAGTTTGAGCACTATTGGGGAGCTAAGACCGTTCATCCGCAAAATGCGGAAAACGAAGAAAACCCCCAAAGAGCCCGGCCGAACATATTCGCTTAATTTTGCGCAAGAAGCACATCGAAATTTCTATCTTGGGGATATTAAGATCGGGCGCACCAGCAACGTCCTTCCAGGAAAAATAGAAGTTGGAAGAATAGAATTTAACGTCCAGAATGAAGAACAGCAGTCTGTGATTCTCATCCTAGGCGATGAACATATAGTTGTATACCCAGAATTCGATATATTCCTGCTGCGAGGTAGTTGCGATACTTTTCCCAAACAGTCATTGTTAGCACAGCTAAAATTTATTCCAGATCTGGTCCAGGACAAACAGTTTTTGCTTGAAATCTACACTCAAGGTGAAGCCCTATATTTCAAGATCTTCCTGATTGCGATACCACTGCCACGGCCGCACCGCACAACTGCCAATTCCATCAAAAATATATTTAAAATACTCTACAATATGGACTTTGCTGGTAATCTCTAATTGGAAGCATTGAATCAAGAAGTAAAGCCAATTGTTTCAGATTTAGCTAAAACTAAACCTCAAAGCCAAAACGCTTTGACAACCAACGAATTGAACCAGGTGTACGCTAAACTAATGGAAAACAAGGACTGGAAGCAGCATACTTTCACTGGGAAGGACTTGGCGCTTTTGAAGCCCTCCTTAAGGCCCTACCAGGAGCAATCCCTTCAATGGATGATCCATAGGGAGAATGAAGGCGGTACTCTAAAGGGTGTGCTTCGTAAAATTGCCAACCCCTTTTTAATTAACAATACACATATTTAGATGATATCAATCCAGCATATGAGAAAGTCACCTTAAGGTCCGGACGCGTTGTTTTCGTCGAAAAGTTTACGGCGCTGTTAGAGAATGAGCCCCCAGTAGTCAGCAGGGGTTGGAAAGGAGGCATTCTAGCCGATGAAATGGGGCTGGGGAAAACCATCGAGGTCCTGGCGCTTATTTTATCTCACCAAAAAACCCCCAGCCCTACTTGTACGGTTTCTGGTAACTATCACCTAGCTGTTTTGAGTTTTAATGCTTTAGATTTTTTTCAGCAGATAATATGAAACAGCTAACAGTCGCCACTGGACCAAAGAGGCAATTATCGCGCAGTAAAGATCCACCGGAAAGGAAAACAAAAGTAATCATCATTGCAAAAATGTATATTAACGTACTAACTAACATATTGTAGAAGATAAAGAAAGCAGAAACAGTTAATACCGGCAAATCTAACACATTCAAGGCATTGGAGGCGATCTATACTGAAACACTGTCGCAATTCTGCACCACCAAACCCAGAGCACGCCATGTGGTTAATCCAGTTCAATGCATTTGCGGATCTGCGAGTACTAATGGTAAGTTGTTAGCTTTTAATATTTATGCTATCCTTAAAACATGGCCTCAGTTCTTCAAAACAGTGTTTTACTCTTGTTATTGGTTACAGATACAGTGAAATGTGTAACTTGCGACAAATTACAGCACATTTCCTGCTTGGCCTGGAGGCCTGAATTAGGACCGTACAAATGTCCACAATGTTGGGAAGCCGCGGATCTGATTGAATCGAAAGCCACTCTAATTGTGGTTCCGGCGACTTTAAGCAGGCAATGGTGTAGGGAGATGGAGACTCATTTGAAATACGGGTAACTATCTCCATTGGAGTGCAACAATTAGACGACAGCTTTGATTTATCGCAGATTAAAAGTTCTCCATTATGAAGGATGCACTAACAGCCCAGTTTATCCAGCAGAACTGCTAGATTACGATATAGTAATTACTACGTATAGTGTTTTGAAAAGCGACATTAAACTCACCGAAACTAACACGGTAAGAAGAGAGTGTGGTTGTTTCAATCAATAACGAAATTTTAGTCCATTAGCCGTCGACAGCAGCGCAAATATTGGCCGATATTATCGCCGATTGTGCGGGTTTTATGGTGGCGGATTTGCCTGGATGAGGCGCAAACCGTGGAATTGCCAATGATTTCGAAAATTACCAAGAAAATATCAGCCTGCCACAAATGGGCCGTGACTGGAACCCCCATGTCCAAAGGGATAGCAGGTAGTGAATGCAAAACGCTACATGTTGGGCGCAATTATTAAACTTTGCCTGTTTCAGACATTTTCGCACTAATCGACTATTTACAGATGGAACCATACAATGACTTGTACACATGGAACAATGTTTTGTATTATCCGTACGTCGCCGGCAATACCCAGCCAATGTATGACTTTTTGTCGAAAATTCTATGGAGGACCTCCAAGAGTGCGGTTTTAAATCAGGTACATTTTCGACACGTTTTTCGTGCAATTCTAGATGAAATTCTTCAATTTTAGATCAACATCCCGGAGCAAAGCGAAAAGTTACACATGCTGGAATTCTCCGCAGTGGAAAAGTTCTTCTACAATCGCGAGCACGAAGTATGTTCGCGAAACTTTTTGCAAATCGCTTCGAAGTTTGAGGAAGATATTACGTTGCAGAAAATGAACAGAAAACATCTCAAACAAGTAACAATAGCAGCTCTCTGCAACGCTAAAGGCTAAACTTGCTTGGTTTTAGCTGATGCAGCCTTTAGTGTCTTTAAGGCAGGCTTGTTCGGATGCCAGCACTGTGCGAGGCAAAGGCCGCTACCTCTCGTTAAAAAGAGACGCATATTCGATGAAAGACTTGCTAGAAGCGCTGATTCTGAAGAACAAATGCGACTGCGAGGAAGCTTTGAGGCTGCTGGTCAGCTCTAACAATGGTTAGTCGTTCCCCCGATTACTCGAGTTTTTTTATTCAATTCCCATTAACAGGTTTGGCCGGTACCTATTTACTAATGAACGATCCTGAACAAGCTATTGCCGAATACCGCAAAGTGCTTCAGTTGGCCGCAAAGTTCTCACTTGTTGAACGAGACGGCTGTGGCAAAATTGATGTTGGTAAGATGTTTGAAAAACGCCCACAATCCGTGGCTGTACTAATTCGAGCCTTTCAGACAAGTTGCCTCTGATACACGCCATGCATAATTTGGCTGATGTATTAGAGACCCATCAGCCAAAGATGCGCACGATTAGAGACAGCAGTTTAAGGAAAGACTGCACTGAACTGGAGAAGCAGTATATTGAAAAAACCATGAAGGAGGCAAGTAGATAATGTTTCTTTTACAGCAATGGAATTTGAGGGCTGTTGTTGCAGACGGGATTCAGAAGCGAGCTGTACAATGCCGCTACAGCCATTGTGACTAAACATCAAAGTGAATTTATCCTCAGTCACGGCGAATGGTATTCGGATGGCTTCGATTGGGTCAGTCTGAACGGACTAGAAAAGGATTTAATTTCAAGAGTATCGGCTGCGGCTGGTGTTACTGCCAGCAATTTAGAGTAAGCATTTATAACAATTTTACATACTTTCCCGACTGTGTTTCAATTCCAAATCAAAATCAATTCCTGGGCTTCAGTCATTTATTGTCTCTATTTATCAATCCAAATACGTTTCGGTGTATTTTTCCACCATCATCAGTTTTTATGTGCAGCGTTGTTGCTGCTTTAAGCCTTGGCATGCATTTTTGCGTGCCAAAAACTGCATGCCAAGGCTTAAAGCAGCAACAACGCTACACATAAAAACTGATGATGGTGGAAAAATACACCGAAACGTATTTTAATTGATAAATAGACAATAAATGACTGAAGCCCAGGAATTGATTTCGATTTGGAATTTAGAACAATCAAAGATCTCAAATACTGAACGAACGCGTGCTGTTTTCCATCCTGCAAATATATGCAGGGCGAATCACGGTCGATGGCATGTTAGATACGCATGCCCACCCTGTAGATAATTCGTTGATAATATGTTAGTTTTTCTTCAATTAGATTTTATCAAATTCGCTCACTGTTACGGAAAACATACAATTGGCACGTCAGCTTGGAACAAACCCGAGACGAGCTCTGTTCTACAATAAACAGCCTATATCGGATCGATCCTGAGACCAAGCAGCTGATCACTTCTGAATATGTTGTGGAAAAGGCCGTGGAATGCCATCTCAGGCCGGTACAAGCCAAAGCGACTAAACAGAAAGCTGAATGTCCCATTTGTGTGGCCAATGGTAGTAAATTTTATACATTTAAAGAACAGTTGGTCAATGGAGTTTGCTTTTTTCAGCCGAGTTGATATCCTATGAGAAGAACCTTTACAATACGGAAGGTCGGGCTGAAATGTGCGAGAAGAAGACCCTGGAAGAATCCGTGCTGAGATGCAAGTTTCGTTAAACAGCTGGAAAACTACGAATTATGACTAATTTATTTTAGGCTTATTGGCTTTGTTGAAGTCGAAAAACTGCGAAGCCGACATTATAAAGGACGGGGAAACGCACTTGCTGTTACTAGAGGCCTTAAAAAAAGAGTTCAAGGTAGATATTGACCAGTAATGTAATAATCTGAATAAAAATCGAGTGTTGCTATAGGAAATCAGCAAGCTGTGGACTCTGCTTGCTAGGCAGGTGTGCGCCCAGGATGAGGTCGAAATTTGCAAAGTGCGGCTCCAATTTAAGGAAAAGAGCCAGAACAAAACAGTAGTTGATAAACAGCTGAAAATGCTGAGCTATGAACAGAACAATATCCATGAACATATTAATCTAATCAGCCCGGAAGAGGTAACTTTTCCCGCCTAAGAACCAGGCTATTCCTTACTAAATCTCTTTGTTTCATTTAGGTTTGTTATCAAGAATTAACGCTGCGTTCAGATGAATCGCAATACAACACGCGACTGGAGGCTTTGTTAGGCAGGCGAAATTATTTAAACACTTTGAGGCAACAGCAGTTTGAGGGCTACGCTCCAGATCCATGTCCGATTTGCCAGAGCCCATTGGTCAAGACCTGGGCGATTTTATCGTGCGCCCACACCTACTGTTTGGAATGCTCTGAAGCTTTGATAAATAAGGTAAACAACCCAACTGAACCAGATGCGAATTGCACTTAATATACATCGTTCACAGACCAGGAAGCAAGACCTCCAATGCAGTGTCTGTCGCTCCAAGCAGAGCATCCAGGACTTAGCTTACATCAACAGCTGCTCTGATGGTGCCGCCCAAGACGAGGATGAAACCAAAATATCGGTTCTGGGAAATTACTGCAAGAAAATCGAAAGCGTCGTTCAACTCGTCTTGAGTTTGAGAAGAACAACCCCTACAGTCCAGGTGCTGATATTTTCGTCTTGGACAGTGGTGTTGAAATTATTGGGAAAAGCTTTGGAGCAAAACCACGTTACGCTGGAGCTGGTTGATTCAAGCACAACATTTGCCAAACGAATCCAACACTTCAAGGTTTGCAACGTTTAACACACATACAGGAGAAATATTCAAAAAAACTGTTTAGGATCCTTTGAACAACATCACGGCTCTTCTGATTCCCATCGAGTTCGGTTCCAAAGGACTGAATTTAATTGAGGCCACACACGTAATTTTAATGGAACCATTGCTGGACACCGCTAATGAGCTGCAAGCCATTGGGAGAGTTCATAGAATAGGCCAAACCAAGTAGGTTTAATTGAGATTTTTTCCGATGTAAGATCGAATTTTGGGAAGCATTTCAATGGTGATTAGTATAACGGTTTTGCAAATATCTAAATACTTTCATAAATTCACAACAAATCGCCCGAAGATGCCATAAGGTTGAAACTTTCTAGGCACTTTGAGACAACGCGCATCTTTCAAAGAGAGCAAGTTGAAAATTTCTAACAGTTTTAATTAATAAGCATTAACTGAAAAATCGGGAAAAGAAATCTTAGGTTGATAACATCGCCAACTCCATAACTTTCGGAGTAAGGCTACAAAATCCCGTTTTCCTCCAAATCAGACACGTTTTCGGAATTATGACGACTAAATCGGTCCTTTTGTATAAACATAATAAAGATACATACTCGTTTATCTTTATCAACTTGCAATTAAGTGTTAAACAATTTTCGTTGATTTCAGAAAAACGGTGGTCCACCGATTCGTAATCCGTGACACCATAGAAGAGTCTTTATACAAAGCAACTTGCTCAAACTCCCTGGGATGGGAAAAAGGGAGAGTAACGGTTGGACAGCTACGAAGCCTCTTCGAGAGCGCCATTGACGAAAATGAGTCAATAAAGTCGTCCAAATCAACCGGGATGGAGAAGCTTAAGAGGAGCAGATAGTAAACACCTCGATATCTTTGAGGCCAGCATTGGCATGCCAATTTCCAAGTTAGCTGCGATTATTGGCCGAAACAACTAATTATAATGCGCTATAAAGAGAAACCGATATAGGTATGTATAAACCTACCATACATTCCATCTTTGAACTCCAAAACTTATCCACTTTTTGGGATCGTGTAACTGAAAGGCTATTAGGTTTTCTGGAATCCCTCTTAACTGTTACAGAACAAAGCGATCTCAATTACCGTAAATATAAGTCAGTATGATGTACAGTGTACTAGTGTTTTTCATATAAAAATAAAAGGTTTTGTATTACTTCTTTCGTTCATATTTCCAAACGTACACTGGAGGACTGTCCGTCGTCCCTTTCTTGAGCCTTTTAGGAGGTAAGACCGTTTTCTTGCCTTCTACCGCTCTGGTGATTTCAAGTTTTTGCTGAGTAACGGCCAGTTCCTTTTCCCGTTTTATCCTTTTAGCCAATTCGTTGTACATCGACTGGCGAGTCCTGGTAGCTTTCTGGAAAATCAAATTTTAGTCTGCAACCCAAGTCTTATCGAGGAAATTTGGTACCTCCAAAGCTTTCAGATTAACATCAGGCAACTCGACTGTAGCCAGCCGCTGATGCCGCTCCTTTTCTGGATCCACACGCTCAGCGCTTTTCTCAAAATACATGTGCTTATTCTCGATGTTGTGCTCCACACTAGTGAGATGCAGCTGCGATTGCAGTTTCTCAATTTTTCGCTGTTCCTGCGTCCTTTTGGTGACTATGTACTTTAAGTCCTGCGTTTTCATCAGCTGGATCTGCTCTGGAGTGTCTTCAGGCTCCAGATCCTTTTCAAAATGCCTGCCTTAAATGGGAGAGTGTTGGTTTAAACTACTGCTTCCAAAACCTCAACTTACCATTCTCGGTTTTAGAATTGATCATGTGGTGATAGAACTCTTCGGGGTTCCTGTTCAGAGCACGCTTCCGCAACAGTTTCAACGTCGCCTTTTTCTCATTGTAGTCTCGGGCCCTTCGCTGGAAGTCCTTGTGCTTTTCCAGCAACCCCAAATGCTGCCTTTCCTCAGGCTGATGTCTTTCTCTATGGGTCTTCTGGTTCGATTTCGCCGCCTTTTTCCAAACAGACATTTTGCTTCAATATGCTTATAAATTCTTTAAAAAAAAACAATTCTGTTTGCAGAGATTGTTTGCTCTTTGCATGTGTGATTTTAAAGAATTCCAACCTCAAACTTCTTCTTTTTCTCAAACTTGTCATCATCTATGAACTTCTTCTTCAGCGCTCCATTTTGTCATGGTGACGGTGACATTGAACATAGATAAAGACCACAGATTACAGAGTGTGAGCCTCTGTGATCTGTGATAAAGACTTCTTGAGAAACTTCGAAAAATGCAGCATCATGTTCAAGTGGATTTTCCAACTGAGAAAAAAACCCACGCAAATCTAAAACTTCTTGAATTCAAGCCTTTTTTGAGAAAACTGCCAACATCAAAACAAAAAATCGTTTTTGTTTTGCAAATATTTCGCTAGTTTGAAGAACCAATTCACTGGTTTTACGACTATAAATGACCAATTGGGATTCATTTAGTCTTCCTGCGGCGTCCAGCAAAGCTAACGGGTTGTTTTTCGCTTCAAAAATTGTCCGAAATCATTTTCTGGTACAGATTCGCTGGACTTTTCCGGAAATTTCTTGACGGAATGGAAGTTATTGCGCTGTTCCGGCGCACTGGACGCGTTGGTGGATTCGCCCAATCGCTTTTAACATCCGCGGCCACAAATTATCTGAGAACGCATCAACGAATAATTTAGCAAAAAAACGTTTTCGTGGCAATTGCTTAAACTGGTTTTCGGGCTTGTAGGCAGGCATCTTCAGAGGTGGTTTGCTCAAACGCTTAGTGGAGCAAACCACCTTTAAAGATGCGAACCACTCGTGCTGGCAACACGCCAGGAAGGCGCAGAAACTTTGTTTAAAAAACACAAATAAAACTTTACTGATTGTTTTGAATGCAAAGTTAATAAAACGATATGGCTAAATTGCATACTGCCTATAGAGGTACATTTTGCGTCCGGAAAAACCGTCCATTTGAGACAAACGCGCTAACTTAAACTTGCTGATAGCAAGCACTTATCACAATGTATAAGAAACATGGTGAAAACAATATGTTTTTGTGCTCCCAAGTCATTTAACCGCACCATTGATACAATTCTAAATTAGAATTAAAATCGTCATCAGTGCATGAAAGGTCAGACCTTGTTATTTTACTTGATGGGCCGCAAACAAATGGAAGCAATTAATCACACACCAGGGAATTGGAAAATAACACGTTTTAACGTTTTTTTGCGTTCAACCTGTGTGATAAAATCGAGAAATTAATCAGCAGTTTTCCTCAGAAAATGCATTTTTGCCGATCAATCTGCCCGTACTTGTTGCACAAGGCGGACGAATTTCGACTTTAAACTTTTCCGCCCTGTGCAAGTAATTTTAGTCAATTTCCCAATTAAATGAAAACCGTTATACTCGCAATTTACTGCCATTTTAATAAGCTTCCATTACTGTTAACTATTCAAACTAATTGCGATAACGTTATTGACGAAAATAAACCAACTAGTTGACCCCTCGCTTATCTCCAGCCATGTTATAAAATACTGTAGGCCTGAGCCGTGCAGTTGCAATTCTGCTTTCGAAAAATACGTAGCAAAAATGTCCGGAATTCTGCCGGAAACTTTCGTGCCAGGGTTTCACGATGAAGCGCAAGTTAGGAAGATGGTTTACAACGACTTCGGTAGCACCGGCTTGAAGGTATCGAAGCTGTCGTTTGGAACCGGCGTGTTTTGTTACGCCTACAAGTAAGAAAGCTTCTACCTGAAGAATTTTATAATCTATGTGAAGCTTTTAGTGATGTCAGTGTGGAAAACTGCAGGGAAACTCTGCTTAAAGCGCTCAAAATGGGAGTGAACTATATAGACACCGCGCCCTATTACGGCCATGGTGAATCTGAGGAAGTTCTGGGCAAAGTAAGTAGGCGTTTGAAAAACTCCATGGTATTTTGGGATGTTTTTCTAGATCCTTGAAGGTATTCCACGCAAAGCCTACTACATCGCAACGAAGGTGGGCCGATACGAAAAGGACTTAAAAGAGCAGTTTAATTTTTCCGCTGAGAAAACCAAGCAAAGCATCGAAGCGTCGCTCCAGAGGCTCAGGCTGGACTATGTGGATGTTTTGCAGGTTCACGACGTTGAATTCGCACCCTCCCTAGACATGGTATTAAATGAAACCCTGCCAACTGTTCAAGAGATTGTTAAGTCCGGCAAGGCGAGGTTTATGGGCGTGACTGGATATCCAGTGAGGACATTGGCCGAATGTGTGCAGAAAAGTCCGGTCAAGCTGGACATGATCCTCTCCTACGCCAGGCTCACCTTGTTTGATGAGACTTTAAAAGAGTTCCTGCCGGTCTTCAAAGTGAGAAGCGTTCACTTCCAGTCCAACTGGCAATTGATTTTTTTTAATCCTTAGAAACACCATTTAGCTGTAGTGAATGCAGCAGTCAATGGGCTGGGGCTGTTGACTAACCGAGGAGAACGATCCTGGCACGTTGCCACCAAGCAGATAAAGGACGTTTGCGCCACCGCAAGACAATTATGTATTGTAGGTATTTTACAGATGCATTTGAATGCGTTTACAGCATTTTTGTTGCAGCAAAACGACGTTGAATTAGGAAAACTAGCGGTTTGGCACAGTTTGCAGCAAGAAGGCCCAGCTACCACCCTGGTGGGGATGGATTCTGTTGAAATAGTGGACTACAACTTGGAAGTGTTGCACAATGGATTGACTTTCAAGGAGCGGGAATTATACCAGCAGGTTTTGGGGTAAGAGGGATTTATTGCGGGGAAACTCGGATTTAACTGGGGATTATTTCCAGAGTGTTCAAAACTTTAAAGGACCGACACTGGGAAAACCACGAAGTGGCCAAGTATTGGGAACTAATGACCATTTCAACCAAATAAATTCGCTGTAAACCATCTGTATTCACTCTTAACATAAGCTATTGGAAATAAATCCTTTCCGCTTTCATCCCATACCGGGGACTCTGTAGAGAAATTGCCCGTTGCTATCATAGTAGCAGTCGTTCAATTTATATGTGAACCCTCTTTTGTAAATACCCCTAGGTATAGTGATGTGTTCGGGGTAAATTAAATGTGATAAATCTGGGGAGGTTTCCCTTACAAACCCCACTCCCTTACTGGCTTTTGTCTCGTGCCGCTTTCCTATTATAGCCGCAATATCTTCCCGCACAAGATCCACTGTTTCAGTATCGTCTTTTCTAGGAAAAGATGCGGTGGATAGCAATTTATCTTCAGGCGAAATCTCCCTCTCTTCCATGACATTTGCCCTTATTTCTGCCTGCAATTCCTTGAACGTTACTAACTTAGACATTTGCTTGCGTGGTTTCACTTCCGGGACATCTCTGCGATCTTCAATTTCCGTCACCTCTGGCTTCTCTAGTTTGGACTCTTGCATTCTCTGGTAGCTGCTGATTATTTCAGAAAACTCTCCTTTGCCCGGTAGCACTCTCACTTGAGACTTTGCGATCAATTCTTTTGCATGCGTTTCAAAGTTTAACGTCCTATTTGAGAATTTCTTCAGGTGCTCCTTTAGTTCTTCCGGCAAATCCTTCAGCTTGCCTTGCTTGAAATCGTTCCAGTTTTGAAGCACCGTTTTATCGTGATTACGTATTCGGTTCTCGGTTTTTTTAGCCCATTTGCCTTTGGCTACTTTCTGAAAGGAACAACCAACAGGGTTGTGTTAAGTATCAGTGAGTATTAATAGTGGACAAGCATTACCTGGATGACTTCAGCGGTGGCAGGAAATCCTTCTGTGAGCCGCTCAATGGTCCATTCCTCAGGGTTGTTGTTGTGAAGGTACCTAATCTGCTCAGTGTCTTGCCAAGTTAAAAAATTAGGCAGGTGTTGCTTGAAGTATTTCTGCTTCACTATCAGAAGCTTTTCCCGTTCCTTACGTGCCTCCAGTTCACTAAAATGTTCCTTGTGGGACTTGTGAACGTTCATAAAGTCGGCTTCCAGGGCTTCGTAATCAGTGGTTTCGAAATCATCGATATCATATGCATCAACGTCCAGCAGTGTCTTTTGCTTCGCAATTCCGGGGTCTGGGATGTTCTTACGTTGGAAGAATCTTTTGCTTTTAGCTTGGGAAGCATATAACCGGCGAAGAACCAACATTGCACCTTGTTTGTTTTGATCAATTTTCGACGCAGGTTATGGTTTATGTCAGTGTGATATGGAGCACGTTCTTTTGTTGAGATGTGACAACACGGCAAGTTACGTTAAGCTTAATTACTGGTTTTAAATTAAATTGTTAAAAACAAATTGCTACTTAAAAATACTGGATAAAATTATGACCGGTTTAGCAAATACGCGGGAAAATATTTGGAATTGTTTACTTAAACTAGCCTAAGGTAGTACATTTTACACGTAAAAATAAGTACAAAATTGTAAATAATGTAAAAGAACACAAAATAATGATGTAAAAAAATCGTTAATACTACAAGGTTAACTACAACTTAACACTATAAGTTTCAGGAATGACTTAATGAAAATATTTGGAATAACTGCTATGTAATGTAAAAATACATTTTGAAGGCACTCATTGTTCAGGCGCGAATAATTATAGTTTTCCATAATAGTTGAGAGAGAGCTTAATTCGAGGATGGTTAACAATTATTCTAAACAAGCGCTAATTTTGTGCAGAATAGAAGAATTTCCAAAGCGTTTGATAAATTTTAGCGCGGGTTGGTGTATACGAGGCGAACGGAGCGAATGAATTCTACATTTTCATTTGTGCCATGCATCTGATATACGCTAATCCACGTTTACCCTAAAGCAAGATTCCGAAGTCAGTTAAGCAACTGGTCCAGTGAAACAATCTTAAAAAAAATCCGGATAGACAACCGTGCGTTTACAATAAGGTCCGCTGTGAAAATTTTAGTAGTAAAAAATATCTATTTGCTTAAAAATAGCCAACAAGTTTCAGTTTCCACTTTTCGTATTAATGCGACGATGAAATTCCTTCAATAGCTAGTCTTTGCGCGACTCAGTCTTTTAAATAAAAGAAATGTTAATTTCATACAAGATGCTCCAAAGCGGAAATATTTGGCGAAAAAACATGTAAATTACGCAAATCCTCCCAATCATTTGGAACGTCTTGTACAGCACTCAAGTATCAACCTTCTACTACTACCTTTGCGACTGATAAATTGAGACCATTTCTCAGTCGTTAGTCCAACTACTTTGCTTAAATCCTGACATGGTTCATCATAAAAATGTAGCTGTAGTTAAATTTCTGAATGTACTTGAACTTCTTGGTAGCCAGGAATTTTTTTATCGTTCCAATTTCCTTGTCGTCCTTTAAGTCGACACTGATTATCTCAATTTTCACTCGATCAAACGGCAGAGTCTCTAAGACCTGCAATTCAGTGCCGCCCGTTTCCAGACTCAAATAGTCCACTGTGCTGGTATTGAAAGCGAGCAAAAAGGAGAAAAGCGGGAAGCATTTTACCCGTATTACTAGCCAATCGGGATTGTCCATCGAGTTGCTGTATATGTCGTTGATTTTCACATCGCTTTCACTGTGAAGAGTGATCTAAAAAGCAAAAAAAGTTCAGTTTTTCAGGCTTTCAAACCGTTGTGGAAAATAATTTCATCCTGACGTTGCCGCGGTGAGCATTCGAGCAAGCCACTTGAATATAAAATACGCAATAAAACCGGGGGAAAAGCGAAGTCAAAACCGTTTTGCGTTTCAGATGCCAGATGGAAAATCCTACGGTTAATGGCACCTAATATTCTCAGCTTAAAGAGCAAGAAGTGTAAATATCGAAACAAAAACCAAGGAAAATGTCGAATACAGATGGAGGAAGCACAAGAAGAATGTCTGACCCGCAAATGTGAAAGAACTGAAGGAGTTAAGAATAAGCAGGACACGTTTGACTCACCCAGGAAGATAAGATGAAAGAAGGCAAAACATGCGCTTAATTAGGAAAATGTACAGCCCACGTTTCACTATGCTGGCTCAAAAGGCACTTTGAAGGAAAAAGCTTTGCAAGAAGTTGGTGTGCTCGAACTGTAAGATGCAAGCCACTCGTGCTGGCAAAACATGAGAGACATTCTTTGAGACGACATAAAAATCCAGAATAGTGCCAAAATGCAATGCAAATGCAGTTAAATAGACCAATCGTACCTCTCGAGGATAAGGCATAGGGCTGAGACAGGCATGAGCGCACTGGCTTCTCAGCCTGTTGTGCCTTCGCAGATTAAAGTAGTGGCGCGGATCGGGCTGGATCAACAGCCCCTTCCAGTTAAACCTCCGCTCCAGAACTTCCGTTTTCGATGACCTGCCATCGCTGTAAGCACCGGCCTCCACAAACACTCCGTTTTGCTATAACAAATCAATAAAACTGCCTGTAACAAACATCTACAACTATGCAGATACTAGATAAGTCACCTTGTGGTTTAGTAATCGTAACACATATTCAGTTTCATCGGTCGGGTCCTCCTGCGACTCCAACGGCTTGTGGTGGGTCTCTATAGCTGGAAACAGCGCCACTTCTCTCAGGTACATGATCAACTGTGGGTTGTCCTGCGAGATACTGTTCAATTCCAAGTCCTTGCTTAGATTGAGAGTAAACTGATGGTGTTTCATAGCTGTAAAAGAGTCAATGGTGCTTAAAGCCGCAGGCCAGTGGTATGCCTCTACCTGTATTGTCCATGTGCAGAATCAGAATAGACATTACAGTGGCAAAGGCCACCAAAAACAGTCCAATTGGCAAAAGTCTCCTGATCAAAAATCTGGTGTGCTCTTCCACTTTTTTGATGGATTTTATTGGAGTTGGGGGCAAATGGGGTATGCTAGTGGGCAGACCGATGTGCTGAGCCAATGGGGGGGCTGGCGACCCCATACTGTGCAAAGCTACCATTTTCAGCTAAGCAATACTCTGAAATAAATTTTTCTTTGAATACATCTATAAACAGGGCTTATACTGATATGATTTAATTGGGATATTGATATAGATAGCAGATTCAACCAGTGAATAGCTTCAAAGCAAAATCAACTGATTAACCAGGAATTAGAGTTTTTAAAAATAATTTTACGACTGGTTGATTTGGCTTGGTCTGCCATTTTGGTGTGAATCTAAGGCCCAAACTCACCCGGCAGCAGATTAGCTAATAAATAGAAAAACCAATTGTAAAACTTACAACTGTTGGAAAACACCACACTTAACCTGTCTCCAATTGCACTTGTTTAAAAAATAAAAAGAAAAAAGCGGATTTTCAGCCCAGTGCCATAAAGCTTTCTCATGTAAATGAACCATCCGAAAGGAACGTGACCAAAACAACAAAAGGTAATGGTAATGTGCCCATAACCCTCTTTAAATTTTTAATTCTACCTGCCAGGTGCTTACCGACTCCCTGCGCTTGTAGGCGTCCGTCATCCTCCGAAAGACCGGTTTTTATATGGCCCAGCAGGCGATTTTCGCCTTTAAGGCCTTTCGGGCTCGTATTGTTTCAAATTTGTCGTTCTAATGACAGCACAGAGTTGGATTAGCCCATCACCATCTCCCATGGAAAAATTTGCACTTAGACTTCCTGCGGAAGTTGACTGATTTTGACAAAGTTTTGACATACAATTTGATCAAAAGGAGTCTGCAACTGATGTGGGTTTGAGGCGATTTGCCGACCAGGTCTGTGTCCATCTTGCTTTAATGGTGCATGGTGGACTTGGCGTGAGAGCGATGGATAGATGATTTTGACGAAGTTGCGGCGTGTCAGTGTCAGTTTGATTTTGGTGAGAAAAAGCGGAAAACAGTCGTAATTAATTCGAAGAAATAGGTGAGGTGTGAGG